TGTGTCTATGTTTTTCCAGAGGTGCTTTTCCCTCACTCCTTCTTCCTCCACGTCCTCCTTCATGAGATCGCGCCCTCGCGCGCGCAATGCGAGATTGCCGCGCCCGCATTGCACGAGGAAGCTCTACGAGTTCCCGGCGGTAACCAAGGGCGGTGGTCGTGCTGGGGGTGGTCGTGCTGGGGGAGTGGTCGTGCTTAGGGGGGTGGTCGTGCTGGGGCCAGAGCTGGGCCTCGCACCGGGGTTCAGAGATTCACCGAAGGTCTCAATTTCTGAACGGATGATGTCTTCACACAAGATATGAGTGTAGTGGTCACAACGAGCCTTCCTCTCTGTGAACACCCCGGCATTTGGGGACAGCTCACAGAATGAAAGAGAACCCTGGGTTGCTGTGTGCTGTGCCCTGTCCGCCAGAAGCGAATTCCAGAAAACGGCGACAACTGCGACTGGATTCCCAAGGTCGAAGAGGAGGCGTGCGCGATATTAGCATATTATGCGATTAGTGCGATGTGCAGCAAATTGTGTTTCTGTGCAGCCTCGTGTCACGCAGTGTATCTGACGACGCGGCATTTGCAACCCATAGAAATCAGCAGCACGTTCTTCGACACCCACAGCAAACAGCGACACGTTTTTCGACATTACACTTAATACAGCTCGCGTTCTTCAACACTCACAACAAACAGCGACACAGTCTTCAACACTTACACAACACAGCAACACTTTCATCGATACCCACGGAGAACACTGGCTCATTCCTCGACCCTATACGCACATCAACAACACTTATGACAACACGTTCGTTGACACGTTCGCAAATTGCCAACACGTTTGGACGAGTAAGTTTACATAGTGGATGGGATTTCATCTCATCACGTCCTGAAGAGCATGTCTTTGAAAGTTCGGGCAAAAAGGATGTTGGCACACCATCAACACGTGTGGAGTAGATTACTTCATCACGGGAAGCAAACAAGGAAACCTCAACCCTCGTCGGGGTGCCCAACTGTTATTTCTACATGTTATATCGCTGTGGTCGCGGCGCGTCACATGCGCCTCGCTTCAGACATCCCCGCAATTTAGTCGCCAACCGGCATGTGTCGACCCTTTCCCGGCTGCTCCTCTTTGGTGTGCTCAAGTGTTACGCCTCGTAAGAATAGGTAACGGAGGGGAGCTTTCAAAAAACGGGAGCAGGAGGGGCAAAACAAACAATTCGCTCGAGACATTCCCACCACGTGGCTGCGAACGGGAAAGTGTCCTTCTTCTCCCCGGCTGCTCCTCCTTACGGTGAGCAAGTGTTGCCCGTGAGGCCATCAAAAGAGACGAGTTGGCGGGGCAAAGCGAGCGCTTCGTTCTAAAGAGACGACTTGGAGTGGCAAAGTGAGTGTTTCTTGCGTCCTTTCCTACCTCCTCCCTTTACATTCGTCTCTTTCCTGCGTGGTTTGTCCGTCCATCCCCGTTTTCCTCGTTTCTCCTCATCTTGTTTCCTCCCTCCCTCTTTCCGTTTTCGCCTGGGGTCGCTGTTCATTTCGTGTAGGCTAATGTTTGTTCACACGTCACTTCGAGTGCCATGCCGCGGCAGCCTTTCGCCGTCGCATGTGGACGCGTTGTGGGTGCATCTGCAACCAACGTGATAGTCATGCTTTTCGCACGTGCTCCCGTCACGCCCTTCCCATTCATATGTGTAAGCGTTCCCGTCGCATTCCACAGCTGAGAGACAGATGACAGCATCCCCCCAAAGCTTATTGTTACCTGCAGCAGCGCCAATCCTTGTGAGACCTGGTCTGAGCCCCCACCCATGTGGACAGTGCTCTCTTGTGTGGGCAACAGGTTTCGCTTGTCTGGTATATGTTGGCGTGCTGCCTGCGGCAAAGGGGCAGCGAGGGACAGGGCAATAGGAACCGTGTCGTGTGCGGTCCGTCCGCGATGCCGTCACCCTCGGAGCTACTTTGCATCCGTGCGGCAGCACCCAGATTTCATTTGCTGCGGCTCGCCCGTGGGAATGCTGCTTGTTTTTTGTGTGAGTGGGTGCGTGTTTTTTTTGTACAATGGGGTTCCTGTTAGTTGTCAATGTCCGGCTGTATGATGCTGTCTCGGATGCTGTCGCTTATTCCGAAGATTCGCACGTTGGAACCAGAATCCGACGGAGGGTTGCGGATCCGAATGTTGACTCTGCGTTGTTAGCCGCTGGTGCGTTATAGCAATTACTACGCCGTTGCAAAAGCTTGCCACTTTTCATTGTAGCGTCAAGATGATGCAGATTTCGTCCGTTACTTCCGCGCGAGCGGGCGGGCGGCGGCTGACCCCTGACCCGACCGCGCCAAGCTGCCCCCCCTTTTCCCCGTAGAATCCTCGCGGGCTGGGTCAAAGCGGTCGGTCAAAGATCCAGGATTTCTAAATCGAGGTCTCCTTCCAGTTATATAACCGTGCAATCGGACATGTTGAAATCGGGTCAAGTTAAAACCCGACGTAAAGCACACTGTTTCAGAAATCCCACCGGGCTGGATCCTGCCCTGTCAACGCAAGATTATGAAATTCTATTTCATGGCGAAATTAGTGCAACGCCGATGTATTCGCATGATGTTTCACCCGTGAGAACTTCAATTCTGTTCGCTACGGCCCACAAGTTGTTGTTCTGCGTTGGCACGTTCACATTCTCATGGTCTCGTGCACAGTGGTTGGTGTTTGTTCTCCCGTCAGCCCATGGTATGCATCTCGGGCCCACGGACAGGAAGGTGGTTCGGCTCTGCTTCGTCTGCGGGCATTGCCCACAGCCAGGACATACGTTGGCAGGCAGGGCTCCGCTCGAATACTCTGTGTCTAGCCATCGAGGCCATGCTGATTGTCTGGGGGGGGGCCGGGCTGGTGAAGCATGCAACCCGTTGGTTGAACAAGTGTCGTTCGTGGGCCCGCAGACGCTGCCGAGGGTGCCGCAGCAAGGCTCGCAGGCTTCTAGGCAGTGGGATCGGGGCGACAGCGACTGCTTGGCGATGGAGGGGGCAGCGATCCCGCCCCGGCAGGCGACAGTCCTGCACTCCGCGGATCTGCACGTGCAGGCGGGCACGCGCCCCCGTCCTCCCTTGTCTGCTCGCATCACGAGGCCTTCTCGCAAGAGCCATTTCACCCTCACGTCCCTGCCATCGTTCGTGGTCCCGAGTCGCGCTGCGACGTCTCACCGTCGCTGGCCCCTACGTCGAGGCATGTTTTCTGAGAGTTGCGCGCGCTGTTCTAGTCGCATGTGTTGGCGGTGCCACCGGCCATGGCGACGAGAGGTACTTATGGCTGGCATGTTTGCGCGCCTTTTGACAGTCGATACGACATGAGGGTGGAAACCTTCAGCTGGCGCACTTCCCACCATGTACATACGTGCGTCTAGTGGGGCTCGTTTGCTTACCAGAGCAAGGCAAATCCACCTAGAATGACTGATTATTCGGAGTTGTGATTTCTGAAGATGGTACCGGCGTTACTTCCAAAGCGTGTGCGACGGAACATCGTCAAATATGCCTTCGATAATGTTTTACCTAACGCGGCACCGGGTGCATTCGTTATTAATTGTGAGAGTGTTTCAGATCATGAGGATGCCCATTCCAATGGCGATGATCACAATAGGATCCATCAGGACGCCTCCCTTCCTCGGCTATGCACGGCAATTTGTTCCTGCGTCTCCCAGACCATTGCCCTAGCTTGCTCGCCTCCTGCACATGCGCGAAACTGCAAAACACAAGAGACCGAGGATCCACAGCTAAACGCTGAGACGGGCTGGTGCGGCGCCCGCACGTTGAAAGACCAGCACAGCCCTTTACCAATTGATCTCCTCTCAACGGTTTGCGCGTGCGTGGGCCCCCTGGCGGGGTCGGAGGCGGGGGTCGGGAGGAGGAGGAGAGGGAGGAGGTGAGGAGGATAGGAGGCGGTGAGGAGGTGGGGGAGGTGGAGGAGAAGGAGGGGGAGGCCGAGGAGAGGAGGAGGAGGAGGAGGAAAGCGAGGATGAAAACGAGGAGGAGGAGGAGGAGGAGCGGAGGAGGAGGAGGCGGAGGAGGAGGAGGAGGAGAAGAAATGTGAGGAGAAGGAGGAAAACGATGAGGAGAACGAGGAGGAGGAGGAGGTGAAGGAGGAGGAGGAGGAGGAGGAGGAGGAGGACATCGAGGAGGAAAGCGAGGAGGAGCAGGAGGACCATGAGAGGAAAGACGACGAAGGGAAGGTTTGGAGCACGGCTAAGAGAAGTCCCGAGGATTGCCAAGGGTTCAATCTTCTCAACCAGGTCTACGAGGACTGGATGGGCAGGATCCGCCAGGAACTCCACCAAGTAACTCAAACGGAACCCCAAGGGAAACCATTGGGGTCCCAAATGACCGCTTCCTTGAAGCCTTTGCAGGAAGTGTTAAAAGCAAAGCATTATCCGAAGAAGCTTCCCGAAAGAGCCCTAAGCTGGGTTGTGCATCGTCTCAGAGACCTACAGGGCAGTCTGGGGAAGCTCTCTGTGGGCGACTTTCCAAGCCCAACTATCAAAAAACATATTCATCTGCTAACGCAACTCCCGCTTAGAGGGGGTGCATTCAGGGCGCAGTGGAAGGCAGGTGGAGATCTATTTCACCCTGTACTTGCCGAAGTTGTGTACCAGTTTATTCGGAGGAAGTCGGAAGCCACAGATATCCGAATCGAAGAAGCCATCATCGTATGTGAGGCATGCTTGAGGGGGGTCCAGGGGAAGGAACAAAAGGCTAGACACGAGGAGTGGCAAGCATGGTTATATTCAGCACGTCAGGGAAGCTATTCTGGCATTCACAAGAGAAGGACTGCTTTGAAGCTGGGGAGGTTTGGATAGAAGAATGTTTCACCACATCACTCCCCAGATACCTGGAACATCAGCTTGAAACATGGGGGGCCAAATTGAACGCTACGGATGAACCGAACATGGAGCCCTCCGATATCCACGATTACCCCCCGTACCCAGTTCCAGAGCCTGCCCAACCAGGAGACCTCCGCCAAATCAGCGAAAAGTTCAAGGCCATGACGTGTCAACCAGACGGGTTCCACCCGCGCCATTTTAGCATGGCCAGCGATGCTTGCCTACAGGTGTTGGCCCTTCTTTACCAGCTCATGGACGTCACAAGGACGACCTCGGCAGTTATGCACATGAAGTCAATGCTCTTGGCCAGGAAGCACAAGGGCCCGGGCAGAAGAGGCATCGCCTTCTTCTCGGCGACGCTCTGGGTCAAGGGCAAAATCTTTGGACGCGAATGCAAGGACTGGGAGGCCAATCAGGGCATAGGCCCGCATTTCTCAACAACGCAAAGAAGATCGCCTGAAGACACAGTGTGGAGACAGTCGATGCGAAGCGAGCTGGCAGCAGGCAAAGGACACCACATCCTCAAGATTCTATGGGATCAGAAGTCTTACTGCGAGACCACAGACCACGTAACCATGGTCAAGCAATTAGAGTACACCCGGACCCAGCTCACATCTCTTTTCAATTTGCACGTTTACAGGTGGCCGAGAAGGCTATTGCTGGACGGTTGCGCTTCGGCCTGCAAGTACCCGCGAAGAGGGCAGTTTCTTGCGCAGGAAGTTCTGAGCGGTCTGCCCATCGGCGGCTCCTTAGGACGAGGCCCGGAACCACCGAGAAACCGTTTGGGATAGGAAAGTCTAGGCGGTTTGCCCATGCTCGGTTTCTTCGGAGCGGGCCCGAAGACATCGAGAACGATGTTTTTGCAAGGAGTCCTAGGCGGTTTGCGCATTTTCGGGCCGTTCGAACCGAACCGTATTTTTTGGGGTGCAAGTTCTTTGGGATTTGGCCACTTTCAGGTCGGCCGATAAATTTTCACCGAACCCGAAAGCTTCTTTCGCGGAGGTCTTATGCCGTTTGCTCATTTTCGGTTCAGTAACGTACACCGTTTGAGATTAATTACCCTGGCGACGTACCCACCCCCTGCGCAAACGCGGGGCGCAAATAGTTTAGGACACTTTATAAGGGGGGCGAAGACGGAACGAAGGTTACATATGTCTGCAGACGGAATCCGGGAGACTCGCAGGACATTGGCTTCAGGACAAGGACTAGATAATGGTGATTAATTGCAATCCCTGAGCAACCCTAGCCACTTCGAAAGCGGGGATCTCAGATCGCAGCCCCCCAGGGATGGCGAGGTCTAATTTGGGTCCGCGCGTGGCGTCACTGTGCTGGGCCCCCCAGCAGGCCTCGAAAGTGGCGACAGTTTCACAGATCGCAGCCCCCCAGGGATGGCGAGGTCTAATTTGGGTCCGCGCGTGGCGTCACTGTGCTGGGCCCCCCAGCAGGCCTCGAAAGTGGCGACAGTTTCACAGATCGCAGCCCCCCAGGGATGGCGAGGTCTAATTTGGGTCCGCCCGTGGCGTCACTGTGCTGGGCCCCCCAGCAGGCCTCGAAAGTGGCGACAGTTTCACAGATCGCAGCCCCCCAGGGATGGCGAGGTCTAATTTGGGTCCGCCCGTGGCGTCACTGTGCTGGGCCCCCCAGCAGGCCTCGAAAGTGGCGACAGTTTCACAGATCGCAGCCCCCCAGGGATGGCGAGGTCTAATTTGGGTCCGCCCGTGGCGTCACTGTGCTGGGCCCCCCAGCAGGCCTCGAAAGTGGCGACAGTTTCACAGATCGCAGCCCCCCAGGGATGGCGAGGTCTAATTTGGGTCCGCGCGTGGCGTCACTGTGCTGGGCCCCCCAGCAGGCCTCGAAAGTGGCGACAGTTTCACAGATCGCAGCCCCCCAGGGATGGCGAGGTCTAATTTGGGTCCGCCCGTGGCGTCACTGTGCTGGGCCCCCCAGCAGGCCTCGAAAGTGGCGACAGTTTCACAGATCGCAGCTCGGGATAGGTTAATTTCGCCCGCGTCGCTCGAATCTGCGCGTCGCCCTCACTGTGCTGGGCCCCCCAGCAGGCCTCGAAAGTGGCGACAGTTTCACAGATCGCAGCCCCCCCAGAGATGGCGAGGTCTAATTTGAATCTGCGCGTCGCCCTCACTGTGCTGAGCCCCCCAGCAGGCTTCGAAAATGGCGACAGTTTCACAGATCGCACCCCCCCCAGGGACGGCGAGGTCTAATTTGAATCTGCTCGTCGCCCTCACTGTGCTGGGCCCCCCAGCAGGCTTCGAAAATGGCGGCAGTTTCACAGATCGCAACCCCCCCAGGGATGGCGAGGTCTAATTTGAATCTGCGCGTCGCCCTCACTGTGCTGGGCCCCCCAGCAGGCTTCGAAAATGGCGACAGTTTCGCAGATCGCAGCCCCCCGCAGGCAAGACAGGAGGAGGCACGGAGGGAGGGAGGAGGAGGAAGGAAGGAGTGGAGACCACACTGCTCTATTCAAAACGAATGCCCAACCAAGGAGGGTTCGGAAAACAAATTGCATTCGGAAGGAGAACCCGATCCCGCGACCCCAGGCGGGGGTTAGGCTCTGCCCTTGCATTGTACTGGGCCCCATCTGGCCAAACGGGGCGCTGGGCTGCCCATCGGCGCGCCGACTCTGCCCTCGCGACATCGCCACCGTCCGCCCTCGGGCCCCGCGAGTCTTGTCCCGCGCGCGCCACCCCAGATGGCCGCGGCCGGCACGGTGGCGAAATTGGGGAAACTTTCGGATCGGCGCAGTATTCCGAAGCTCTGCATCATTGGGAGCTCTTCCAGTCTGGTGGGCAAGGCGGCAGCCATATTAGAAAAGTTGGCAGGAAGAGCTAGCGCTGCCACGGCAAACCTCGGCATGGATGATACTTGTAGGAAGCACCAGCGATATAGAGGAGCTAGGAAGACTAGGAGGAAGAGGTGGTTAAGATTGACTTCCAGGCATCGCAAAGTCAAGGCGCTCCCAGGTACCAAGGCCAAGTCGCATAAAAGTCGTTGTTTTGCAGTGGGAGCGAAATCCGTGATGGCATACGGAGCAGGGTGCCAAGGATCTACGCCCAAAGAAATCGAGAAACTCAGACTCCTAGGGAGCCCGGCGCCGAGTTCCAGGGTGAGAGCAGCCAAATCCGACTTATGGTGGGAAACTAGACGAAGATCTCATCGTTCGGGCCGCAGCGGGCTTGGAAAGGTGCGCCAACGAGTGGTGGCAAGCAAGTTCCACGAGAAAAAAACTGCCGGTCCATGCTGACAGATTAAGAATCAAGGAATTCAGGTATGCTTATGAGCATGCAGTTGCAGATTTAAGCAGCAGCTGCAAGAAGACATGGTTAGGAAAAACCCGGGGGCCCATGATTGCATTACTCTTGCGATGTGATAGGGTCGGTTGGCACTTCCGCAATGCCACGCACATCGTTGACAGGAATGAAAGGAAATTGCACATGCTGGAGCTTTCCCCAAGGAGAGCCGGAACGGAATTCCACAAGCAACACAAGGATTCTTTTGTTCAGGCTTATGTTAAAAAAGCCAAGGTGCCAGATGATTCTGGAATTTACTCGGCAGGTCAGTGGTGGGAGTTCTTCCAGAAGCACTTCCAGCATGCGGACCTGAGCCACAGGGAGCATCAGCTTGTCAGGAAAGTCTTTTGCGACGCGTTGGTCACAGCAGGGAGACTGAAAGCATGGGGCTACAGTGGCGTAGGCTTATGCCCTTACTGCGGGCAACCCGATACATGCCAGCACCGGATCTGGACGTGCCCGCATGGAAGACGGATCAGAGAAGATTTGTTCCATCACATTTTGGGTGAAATTCGCGATTTGGAGGGCTTCTATCCCTTATACCACAGGCTCTGGGCAGCAAGACCGGACGTACCACAGCCAATCCAGGATTGGGACATTGAAAAAATTGATCGTAATGGATTGTGTTATGAAGGGATTTTGATCCAGACATCCCTGTTTTCATAGACGGGTCTACAATCGACCCAGACCACCCCCACGTCAGCAGGGCAGGGTTAGCCGCAGTACAACTCGATGCCGGAGGCAATTTGTTGCACGCGGTGAGGTCACCGCTGCCTGCAGTCTTTCCCCTAGGCACATACATTCCCGACACCCCAGGTCAGCTCCCTTCGTAGTCGATTGTGCAGCCCTCCTTAAATGTATCCGTTCCCCAGGCGCGGTCCTTGCAGGCAGCTGTTACTATGGGGAGTTGTGGAGATCAGTTGGGCAGCATCTACCTAGCGACAGGTGGACATCCTTCCAGAAGACAAAGGCACATCGTGAGCGGGCCCAGGTGGAGCATTCTGATTTGGCAATTTTTTTGAATAAGGCTGCCGATTGACATGCTGGTGAAGCGGCGCGCAGCCACGCCTTTTCAATACAGGAGGCCGACGATCAAACCGAAACAATCAAGGAGGCGTATATTACACTACTGCACGGTGTAGGCAAAATCCTGGGCGAGTGGCCGCGGGCCACCGATATATGGCTGGAGGCGGAGCCCAGACAGCCAGACAGGAGGGAGCGCCCATTTGTAGTCCCCCACACACCGGTGTGGATAGGAGGGGGCTTCCGATGTACGACTCGCCTTCGCAGGGCAGGCCCGGGCACCAGAGTGCTTAGTAAAGATATGGCGCCCCACATTCAGGATGCCCTCCTATCAGCCCCAGGGCTTGGGCACAAGCTCCACATCGGACGGACTGCGGGGCCGAAGCTGCCCATCCTAATTATTCTGCATGAGTTGTGGGGCTTTTGCTGCGGCCTCCAAGAGCGTAAAGTGCACAAAGAGTGCCTTTGCGAAGTTTCCTCAGAGTTGAGAAAACTCAGAAAGATTTCCCAAGAGTTGAGGAAACTCAGAAAGGGGGAGGTCCCAGCCACCAACCCCCCCCAGCGTTTCATCAAACCCATGCCTGTTTCATGTGGGGTGTGCACTCGCCGGAGGCGGTTGCACTTGAAACGCGAGTTCTTCCTCACCTCCTGCCCCCTTTCTTCCTCCCGTTATCCCTCTCCTGTCTCCTCCAACGCTGCTCTCTTTTCAGCAGGTTGACTGCAGGTTTGGGGGTAGGGATGTGAGGAGGAGGATGCGCTGGGAATTTGTTCAGCAGGGAGTTACATAGGTACGCTTCCTGATGGGTGGCAGTTTCACGACGACCGTACGTAACTCGGAGAAGCCAGATCCGCATCGGATAGGGGGTTGGGGCACTCAGGGGGTCCCCCCATTTTTGCTCCACCCCCCCTCGGTGCGGAAAGAAGGAATCACAACCATACCAGAACCAGCGACACCACAATAAGGCCCAGGGCTGGCCGATGCCAACCGAGCGATTGCGCCATTATCAGTTCCGCGCAGGCTGCGTGCTCAGAGCACTTTCCTGCCCTGGCGTGAGCACCAGTTGCATCCGCCGGAGGCGGTTGCACCTGAAACGAGGATTCTTCCTCGCTTCTTGCCGGGCCTATCCCTTGCGATACCTGGCGGAGTTGACCCCTCAGGCAAGAGCAGATGTACGCTCCAGCTCGATGCGCATCGGCTCTGCAGAGTAACGGCCTGGGCGGGCCGAGTCTTGTGGCCACCATCTCTCCTCCTCACCTCCGAGTGCCTGCACGGGACTGCTGGGCCCGCTGGCCGAGCGAGCACGACGGCGGCTCGGGGGGAGGGGCAAATGGGGGGGGGGGTGAGCGATGCCGCCTTCCAGCGGCGATGCTATCACTTAGGTGCTGTTGTGCTTGCACGACTTCATCCCTTCAGCGTTTCAATGTTTCAGAGGAGGGAGGAGCAGGAGGAGGAGGAGGAGGAGGAGGAGGAGGGGGGAGGAGGAGGGA